ATTGGTCGACTACTTGCCTGATCGATTATCTGAATATTCGATCCTCCCGCCTTTTGGCTTGGCTTCCTCTTGGCTTGACCTTCTCGACCGGCTGAGCAGGCCGGTTTAGCCTTGTGTATATAATATCCCATATTATCTAGTCCCCCCCACTCTGGTCGAGTCTGAATGACTCGATCTAAGAGTGAATTGGTATTTATCGACCTCCTGAATGGCTCGTCATCCGATATCGACCAGCCGATAAGTTTCCCGCTCACGTTTTCAAATAATTCCCCATTAATTGCTAGAAATAAAGTCTTCTGTTTCAAGTCTTTCCTGTCGCGCCCGCTTTTCTACCACGCGTCACGTCTACTGCATGTGTCAGGCGCTTTAATTATTACGCCTCCTCGTCTAACGCGTCCATTTTGAACTCCGTGAGAATTAATACTCCCCACCGTAGGATCTAGCTTTGGTCCGACGACCCTTATCTTTCAAACTTTCAATCTTCCAAGGTATAAATTCCATACTTAGCGTATTTTAGGACTTTTTCCACTTCTGCAACTCTTGTCTTCCTTTGTATCTGAAAATCCTTTCTGCAAAACCCTAACTTTCCCGGCGATTTCTCCTGCAATCCTCAAGCTTTTCTAATCCTTTCATCTGCCGTCATGAGTAAGTTACTCTTTACTTGAATTTACATTTCTTGCGCTTCGAATTCGTGTGTTTTTTAATTTTTCAAATTGGGCATCTTGGATCTTGCTGGCTGGGCATCTTGAATTTGTGTATTGGGCGTTCTTGTTTGATTGTCAATTGTTGTGGATTTTGCTTCCTTCTTCAAAAATCCCCTGGAATCTTTGTTCTTCCGTTTTAATTTCTCTAAAATCGCCCCCTTCGTAGAACCCTAGTTTTTCTCTTTTTGATTCCATTTTTGTTGTTTGAATTTTTTTTCTTTTTCAGATCCTGTACCTCCATCTCCTTCTTCAACCACTTCTTCTAATTCAGTCCAGATACTACCTTCTTCAATTGAGGCTGTTCCTCTCTCGATTCTTCACCTCGGCGATATTGTTCCTATCCGTGTTTTCACAGCTCGCGTTGCTTCTTCCAACTCCGGGGATACTATGGATAACATCCCTCTCCACCGCTGTCGACCTGCTCTTGGCGCGTTAGACGAGCCAGAGGAGGATGAGGTTATTTCTCCTCAGCCCACTGCTCCTCCATCTTCAGCCATCCCGTCTTCTTCCTCCCCACCTGGATCTTCGAACTCTCCACTTAAACGATCCTCGACCAAAAAACTCTCCCAGCGTTCCTCTTTTACCTCCCTCTCTCACCCCTGGTTTAATCCTGAGAAAATCGGCCAACCTCTTGGTTGGGCATTCCTCAGGTCTTCTTCCTCTAACAAATATGATCATCCTCCGCGTGATTGTTATACTTTTTTCGAGATCCAGTTCAAACTTGGTCTCCGCTTCCCCCTAAGTCCCGAGCTGCTTCGCATTTGCGAGTGGTTCTCGCTTCCCCTACATCAACTTCCTCCTAACGCTATCCGTTTTATGAGCACCTTCATTATTCTCTGTCACGTTCGTTTAGGTCGATTCGACCTGGATTTCGTCCATTATTTCTATACCCCCTCTAAACAAGGTCGAGGCCTTTATTTGAAAAGTCGCAACGACACCCATTTTATTAATGACATTCCTTCTAATCTTCCCAAGTGGAGCGACAAATTCATTTTTGTTCGACCTGACGCCCTTTTTTCTTGGCCCTCGATCCCCTGGGTCAAGGAAGTTTCACAAGAGGCGGCTTCGGCCCCTCCTCCGAATCCTCTTTTCGATCAACGGGTCCATACTTGGAACTCCAAGACCGTTGCGTCAGAAATACTACTCAAGGACGAGAATCTTCTCCACTACTGTGGTCTTCTCACCCATAAAACTTGTCCTCCTCCTACCGATAAGGTCCTCGATCTCATTTGGATTGAGAATGATCCAGGTAATAGTCGAGCAAATTAGTCAAGTGTTTATGCGTTTCTTTGTTTTTGTTCTGTGTGATTTTTGATGATTATCGGATATGATCTGTGTTGTGATCTTCTTGCAGAGGTGCCCAGTTTCAACATACCCCCGAGGAAGACTCCTCTAAAAAAGAAGTCAGGGGTAGCCTCTGGCTCGACGAGCGACATGGCTGAAAGATCGACCAATTCTGGTGGGTCTCGACCGGAGCCGCAGCAACGATCGCCCCCGCGAGAGACTCCGTCGCCTCCTCCACCGCCGTCGAAGGAACAACGGCAGCAACAGCTGCAACAACAACCTCCACCCCGACAGCAGCAGCAATAACCTCCACCCCGGAAAAAGCAGCAACAACAAACACGCCAAATCCCTCCACCTCCTCCTGGGAAGGTACCACAATCGTCTTCTACCTCGGCCGTTGCCGCCCAGTCCTCGAGCGCGTCCAAGTCGGATGATCGCCAAAATAGAACTGTCGACCGCCAAGCTATCAACCGCCAACAGAAAGCTGACGGTCGTCGCCAAAAAACCGGCGATCGCCGCAAAACCGATGACCACCATCGAGCCGACAACCGCCAAAAAGTCGACCCTCGAGCTCCCAATCCGAAGGATGCCACTCTTTCCAAAGCCACGGACAAGTCTTCCTCACATCTCGTCCAAGGCCCAAACCCAAGAAAAACCCCCCTCCAACCAACAATCTTCAACCCCACCTGAGGGATCGACCAAGGCTATGGTCGAGTCCCACAATCAAGATGATGGGGGACGGGAAGTTACCATGGGAAAGCGTTCTCGTACCGACTAAGGTGAGGTGGTCTGGAAACGAGGGCGTACCAGCCATCAGTGGCCTGATCCGCTGGCCCCGAAGTCGACGTCTCTTTTGTCGGCTTCCGTAA